TTGTATGCTGATGTATCTTAGGCAATACAGAGAATGTAGGGCAGGCCCAAGATGGCTATAGTTAGGCTCCCTTATCAAGGTTTCTAGTTTGCCATATTTTTAGCATGTAGCCAAGGTCAAATTCAGAGTACATTTGCCTTTCATAATTCTACATATGAAGTGCCTTTTATTAGAGTATGAGGCAGTGGATAGTGGGAAGGCAGAGATAAGATTTGGCGCTTATATCATCAGAAGAGAGACATATTTAAGAATCAATTAGACTTTGCCATCATAAGTTGTTAAATGGTCTAAATATATGGAAGAAATTTGGTAAAACAATAAAATCCTTCTATTTCCTCTCCACCTATTTTCGGCCCAAAATGTTTCATTTTCTCTCCTAAATATCTTTTGAATCTCTCTGAATCTGCATTCCCTTATTAACTACTAGAATTACTTAGTTCAATCCCTCATTATATTTCACTTGGAGAATTAGTGTGACTCTCTTAGTATGACTGTGTTTCAAATTTCTCTACTATTATAATCTTCCTAAAATAGAAATAAGATGGTATTATTTCCCTACATAAAACCACATGTGACTGTAGGGCTTGCAAGACAAAGTTCACACCCCAAATATGGCAGCTATGGTAAACTATGATATGGGTCTCATTCAAAGCCAGGTATAAAATTTGGGGGCCCTAGGCAAAATAAAAGCATTGGGTCCCTTTTTCATAAATTATGAATTTCAAGATGGAGACAGAAAAATATTAAATGTATAATGGGTTTTCTTTATTTTAAAATTTTTATTTGTTTTAATTAGTTATACAAGACAGTAGAATGCATTTTGATACATCATATATAATGCAGTATAATTTCATTCTTCTGATTGTATATGATATAAAATTATACCATTTGTATAGTTATATATGTACATGGGGTAATAATATCTGATTCATTCTACTATTCTTCCTAACCCCATACACTCTCCCCTCCCTTCACTACCTTCTACCTAATCTAAAGTAACTCTATTCTTCCCTAGCTCCCTCCCCATTGTTAATTAGCATCCAACTATGAGAAAAAATATTTGGTTTGTTTTTTGTGTGTGTGTGATTGGCTTATTTGGCTTAGCTCCATCCATTTACTGGCAAATGCCATAATTTTGCTTAGCTCCATCCATTTACTGGCAAATGCCATAATTTCATTCTTTAAAGCTGATATATATATATATATATATAATCACATTTGTTTTATCCATTCATCTGTTGAAGGGCAGCTAGGTTGGTTCCATACTTGAGCTATTGTGAATTGAGATGCTATAAACATTGATGTGGCTGCATCACAGTAATAGGCTAATTTTAAGTCCTTTGTGTATAAACCAAGAAGTGGAATAGCTGGGTCAAATGGTGGTTCCATTCCAAGTTTTCTGAGGAATCTACATAACTCTTTCCATATGGTTACATCAATTTGTACCTCTTTCCCCACATCCTTGCAAACATTTATTATTGTTTGTATTCTTAATAATTGCCATTCTGACTGGGGTCAAATGAAATCTTAGTTTTGATTTGCATTTCTCTAAGGCTACATATGTTGAACATTTTTTCATATATTTGCTGATCAATCATAATTATTCTTCTGTGAAGTGTCTGTTCAGTTTCTTAGCCCATTTTATTGGGTTATTTATTTATTGGTGTTAAGTTTTTTGAGTTCTTTATATATCTTGGAGATTAATGCTCTATCTGAGGTGCATGTGGTAAAGGTTTTCTCCCAATCTGTAGGCCATTTCTTCACGTTATTGTTTACTTTGCTGAGGTGAAGCTATTTAGTTTGAATATGTTTCATTTATTGATTGTTGATTTTACTTCTTGCACCTTAGGAGTCTTGTTAAGGAAGTCAAATCCTAAGCCAACATGGTGAAGATATGAGCCTACTTTTTCTCCTGTTAGGCACAGGGTCTCTGGTCTAGTGCATATCTCACATATTTTTCTGTCTCCATCTTGAAATCATAATTCTACTTTGAATTGAGTTTCATGCAGGGTGAGAGATAGAGGTGTAATTTCATTTTGTAATGTGGATTTCCAATTTTCTCAGCACCATTTATTAAATAGGCTATCAATTCTCCACTGAATGTTTTCGGCACCTTTGTCTAATATGAGATAACTGTATTTATGTAGGTTTGTCTCTGTGTCTTCTATTTTGTACCATTGGTCTATGTGTCTGTTTTGGAGCCAAATATCATGTCATTTTTGTTACTATGGCTCTGTAGTATAATTTAAAGGTCTGGTATTATGATGCCTCCTGTTTCCTTCTTCTTGCTAAGGATTGCTTTTGTTATTCTGGGTTTTTCATTTTTCCAAGTGAATTTCATGATTGCTTTTTCTAGTTCTATAAAGAATGTCACTGGGATTTTAATTGGAATTGCATTAAATCTGTATAATGATTTTGGTAGTATGGCCATTTGACAATATTAATTCTGCCTATTGAGAAGCATGGGAGATCTTTCCATCTTCTAAGACATCTTCAATTTCTTACAAGGTTGGTTCAATATATGGAAATCAATAAACATAATTCATCACATCAACAGACTTAAAATAAAAACCACATGATCATCTTAATAGATGCAGAAAAAGAATTTGACAAAATTCAGTACCCTTTCTTGTTCAAAACACTAGGAAAACAAAGGGTAGTAGAAACATACCTCAACATTGTAAAAGCTGTGTATGCTATACCCAAGGCCAACATTATTCTGAATGGAGAAAATTTGAAATTATTTCCTCTAAAAACTGAAACAAGACAAGGATGAAAGATCACCACATTAATTGAAATATATTATTCATATATTTACTGACTGAACATATTTCTTCTTTGGTGAAGTGTCATCTTCTGTGAAGTCAGAGCAATTAGACAGGAGAAAGAAATTAAAGTTATATGAATAGGAAAAGAAGAACTCAAACTATCACTATTTGCCAATGATATGATTTTATATTTATAAAAGCCAAAAAATTCCACCAGAAAACTCCTAGAACTAATAAATGAATTCAGAAAAGTAGCAGGTTATAAAATCAACAACCATAAATCAAATGCATTCCCATACATCAGTGATGAATCTACTGAAAGAGAAAGCAGGAAAATTACCCCATTCACAATAGCTTCAAAAAAAAAAAAAAAATAGAAGGATTTTCTAAGCATGAGGTCCTAGGCAATTGTACACCAGCGAAGCTGTTCTTGATCTTATCACTTACCTCAACTCCTTTTGACAAGTAGCCTCTGGTTTACAAATGTCTAAGCAAATATAAATCCTGAAATGCACTTCGTGATTGCCCTATCAGTTGTCCATAACATTATTCATTCTTTCTGACTGGTAAGTTCCTCTATCCAAGATACACTGGGGAAAAATATTGACTGTCCTTTAAGAATTTAACTAAATTCTCTTTTAATATTTTAAACTTTCTCTGAAATATTAACATTTTGATTACTATTTCCTAAATGATACATTGTAGTTAGCATATACTTTATGGTTGAATTTATCACATAATTACAGATTTAAATGCATATTTTGTCTTCAAGTTTGTACTAATCCGAATGGGAGGCTTACTATGTTCATTATATTTTAATCTCTCATATTTGTTTCAGTGTTTGGCATGAATTAGGCACTCAGTACAATTTTTAATGATTTATATATAACAATTTTAAATATTCTGAAGTTCTGAGCTACTAATGTTTGTTCACCATGCTTATGGAAGTTCTAAGTATCATATTATGATTTTAGATCAAATGAACAGTTTTTTTTTGATTGAAAATGTTGGGATAATTTGAAACTTTTGTATTTGAAGATATCTGGAATGGTCAAAATAGTGTTTTAAAGTGTAAATTTCATGTGGTATGAAACTTATTTTCAAAATCTAGTCTGAGTTGGTAGATTCAATCAATTCCTTGCCTCTAACTAGGGAAGAGGAACCAAATGAGATTTTTATATTTCTACTGATATTTTCAGTTTTTAGATACAATCAATTTCCTTCTTCTCACTAAGGATGAGGAACCAAATGAGATTTTTATATTTCCACTGATATTTTCATCTCTACTTTTGCTACCATCATTTCTGCTTATACTAGAAGTCTTCTAGATATTGTATGAATAAAATACTACTTAATAAAAGCACTGATCAAAACTTATCATAAATAATGGTTTTAAACATCAATTGTTCAAGCAATCATATATGTTATAGGCTTCTCTATAGAAGGCAAATTATAGTAAATGGAAAGATCCATAGAACATAAAAAATGTATTAAAATGGCAAGAGTAAAAATAGAAGAGCAGTATAATAGCACTATACCTTAAAATAGGCTATTTTAGAATCAAGTTTAACTTTATGAAATAATACTTTTTTTGGTTAAATATATAATAATTGCTTACATATACTATATAGTGAAGAGTGAATGGCTGTGCTTTATGAATAAGTCTAAGATCATAACAAAAACTATCTTGGTGCTGGGTATGTCACACAATCATAGAGCACTTACCTAGCATGCACAAGGTCCTGTGCTCAATTCCCAGCATGAAATTTAAAAAAAAACACAATCTCCAAAAAAATTCCCCTACGTTTTGTGTCACATTTGGAAAGCAAAAGTAATATGTCCATTTTTGTTTCAATTTTATATTTAATCTAAGGAGTAAAAGTATGGTATTTTATACAAATGTCTGTAATTAGGATTTACATGTCAGAAATTATTTTATTTAAATTTTTTAACACTCTAAAAATTGTTGGTATGGATGCCACTTGACCTTATTTTATGATATGATATTTTTTTAAAAAAAGAGAACAAAAAAAAAGATTTTTTTGTCCAAAATAAATATATAAGTATAAAAAATAAGTTATATAAATAAATTATTAGGAAATGTTCTGCAGAAAGAAACAGAGATATAAGGGTAATTTGGTTGACAATTACAATGATTTAAAAGGAAAACTTAAACAAATAAAAATTCAATGGTTCATGCTCAAACCACCAGCTTCTTATGAACCAGTATCTTTAATAAATTATTAGAGGATCCTTGAGGTTTCTTGGAATGCTAGTCCAGTGATGGTTCCATTTTCCAAAGCCTGGAATAATTCCATTGTAAAACAGGCAATTTTTCATGGTTTTATCCTAGAAAGAACAGATTGTTAAAAATAATTAATCCGATCATCCCCCAATTTTAAAGCTTAAAGTAGTATTAATAGCATAAATTCCACATAAAAGCAAATAGAAAAAGAAATAGAAGACTCTTAGAACTTCTAAGACCAGAACTTTTATTGAAACAAAATTTGTAGAAAATATAATTCCTATATAATTTTTACTACATAAAATTATTGCAATGTTTATATCTATGAAATATTTCTCAATGAAGTTACATTTAAGTTTTTAAAACAAGTGTAAGGGGAGAAACAGTAATACAGCATTGAATTTATGAGGCATGCTTTTATTTTCCTATTATTGATATTAAGCAGATAATAAGGAATTATTTGCCCTACTTTAATAACTTGTCAAAATCATAAGTTTATATTATCCTTGAAATATGTAACATCTCTCTTTGGGACCTCCCTTACAAACGACCCCCACATATATAAAGAGGCTTTGATTCCTCTGCTCCTTGAGGTTGTGCCTGCAGTGGCCCTGCAACTTGCTTCTGTCCATGTAATTCGAGGAGACATGAAGGACACCATTCCAGGAAGAAGCTGTGGGAGGCATGGAGTGTTTCCCGATTGTCTGTCTTTCTTCTGGTGAAAACAATGCTCTGAGTTCAAGCATGATGCAAACACAAAATCCTATGTTGGGCAATTGGGTGAGCAATGAACATTTTTTTGAGAGTCACTGACAGTTTAAGGGTCATTTGTACAATGAAAAAATAAAGCCTAATTGGGATAATGTCATTAGTATTTTAAAAACATATCTTATTCTACACTTTATTTTGTTTATATTGCCTTCACCTATAAAAACAGAGAATAAAATAAAAGCCATGGGGAATAAGTGAATGTATATGGTAAGAAAAAGGAACAGGTTTGTGCTGCTAGCCTACGATGTCACGTTCAACTCTCAAAATAATCCTGAATAAGGAGGAATTTATAATTGAGTTTGGATGAAGACACTAAGGCTGTTTCAATATAAAATTCTAGCTAATTCCCGTGGCTGATGTGAATAATTACATTACAATGTTACTTAAATATATATAATAATATAATTAGATTTTAATTTTTGGAACAGGAACATTTTGCAACTATTAAAACAAATGTCCATGAAACAACTATAAAATCAATAATACTCAATTTAACATTAATTTAAAATATAGTTATGCTGAAACTGTATCGGGCCTTAGAAAAACAGAATGGTTTCTATTGTTGACAGAATAATTTTTTGTTTTTATTTCAGTAAATTTATAGCATTACATGTAGTGTGTTATTTTAATCTTATACCACATTTCTTCTTTGGAAAAATTAATGTACTTTATTCACCTCACTTATCCTACTGTTAATTTTTTTTCCTATTTCAAGGGTATAAAAATTACAGTAGATGAATGGATAAAGAAAATGTGGCATATATACACAATGAAATATTACTCAGCAATAAAGGAAAATAAAATCATGGCATTTGCAGGTAAATGGATGGTGTTGGAGAAGATAATGTAAGTGAAGTTAGCCAGTCCCAAAAAACCAAATGCTGAATGTTTTCTCTGATATAAGGCTTCTGACTCATAGGAGGGTAGGGAGTGGGGAGCATGGAAGGAATAGACAAACTCTAGGATAGGGCAGAAGGGTGGGAGGGGAAGGGAGGGGGCAGGGGGTTAGAAATGATGGTGGAATGTGATGGACATCATTATCCAAAATACATGTATGAAGACATGAATTGGTGTGAGCATATTTTATATACAGATACGAAAAATTATGCTCTTTACGAGTAATAAGAATTGTAATGCATTCTGCTGTCATGTATTTAAAAAATAAAACCAATTAAGCAACAAGCAAGATTAATACACAGATTTATAATAAAGAGATCTATGATATCATACAAATATGAATTATTTCATTGAGATATGAACAGATGGAGCCATGGAATCAGTGTCCCATAGGCTGAAAATCCCCCAATTAGGACTTTAGATGATAAGTAACAACTTGAGTTGTTCACTTCAAGAGTGGTGAAGCTCAGATCAGAATCCAATTCAGTCTCCTGCTATAAAACAGAAGTTCTAAATACAGCATAATCCTATTATAGTCAGTAGTTCAAAAATCACACAAAACTTGTAATTTGAAAATATTGACTGAAATCTAAACAAGAAGAAGCATTTTGATCAAGAGAATAACAGAGAAATATATCAAAATAGGGACCATGAATAATAGACTCAGACACAGACACCAATAGAAATAGCAGTTTTTTGGAATTAATGTCAAACTTGTTTATATGTGCCTATCTTTTATTTACTTTTCTACATTTGCAAAAGGATTAGGAATAATTTTCAAAAGGATATAACAAAATCAAAGAAGGCCAATAAAGTCAGACAAAAGGACATTTCATAATACAGAAAATAATAAAGTAAGAAAATTAATTTAATAGAAGGCACTGTATTTTAGCACCAAAGAGAATTCTGACTTCATAGGCAGCTATGTTAAAATGGTATTTTACTTTACAAATTTCATGACTTCTATTACCTTACAAAAGAAATCTCTTTATTAAAATATAATCACACAATGGATGGTAAGATATAACATGACTTCAAGAACACATATTCAAGAAAAAGCAAACTGGTCATAAAATTTACTCTAGCATAGATTATAAAAAAAGTAATACTACTCTAGGGGCTGGGATTGTGGCTCAGTGGTACAGTCCTTGCCTAGGACATGAGAGGCCCTGGATTTGATCCTCAGCACCACATAAAAATAAATAAATAAAATAAAGATATGTGTCCAACTACAACTAAAAAAATATTTTTTTTTTAAAAAAGTAATACTAATTTTCCTACATTAAATGTAATCTCTCAAAATTCCCTTCTCTGGACTTGGAGGAATTTGAATTTAGTCATTCTTGGATATCACTTCCAGTCTATTCATAACAGTGTCAATGTCATGGATCTAATGCAATCAGGCTGTTGAGGAGGAACATCTGGTCTCTACAGGGTCATTTATGACATGTTCTGCTTTGAACCTGCTCATCTCTTAGCCCTGGTAACTCCACTGCCTGTGAGAACACAGTCTGTGACCCACTCTCTGTAGGTGCATTGCATAGTTAACTCTCTGAAGTGTGCTACCTCAGTGGGTACTATGAGGGAGCTGGCACATGTCCACTTTCTTTGGGTACATTAAAAAAATCATTTTGAAATTTTGTGAGAAGCTCTTTAAATTCTCCTTAAATTTTCCATCATCTACCAACCACAAGAAGCCTTTCTCTATCTCAACTGCTTCTCTGGATTGATTGCTTGGACACCCACTCACCCACCCACCCACCCATTAAAGCCCCAATTTTAAACACAATGTTTCTGGGAGTTTGAAAACTGGATACTAGTGATCTTTATTCTTTTTATTCTTACCAAGTTACTTTGTTAGATATACATTTTTCAAAAGGCTAAATCCTAATAAAAATGCTAAGTTCTATTGTTTCTTGTTGGTGTTACATTAGACTTACAATATAGGGTTTTAGCATTTATTCAGTTTAGCTCATTGAGTTTTAATAACTGAAGACAGACAAAATGAAAAAATAAAAAAATTATCCTTTTAAAATTCAGGAATTAGAATATTGTTAAAATCTATTATACTCTCATTCTCTCTCTCTTGTAAAATATACATAACATTTATTATTTTAACCCTTTTAAAGTGCATAATTCAGAGGCATTATACTGTTGTGTATTCCTCACCACTACTGATCTCCACAATGCTTTAATCATTCCAAGCTGAAACTCTGTACCCACTAACTAATATACTCCTATACTCCCCCCATCCTGGTGAGCTCCATTCTATCTTCTCTCTCTAAATGTGAGATCTTGTGTAAGGGGATTCATAGGATACTTGCCCTATCATGTCTGACTTATTGCACTTAGAACAATGTCTTCAACATTCATCAATGTTGCAGCATAAATCAGAATCTCATTTTCCCTTACGGTATTTTTTCCTTAGCTGGAAAATATAACTGTGTTTGGCAGCAAAACTAAAAAGAAATTGGAATTAATGAGTTTAGTGGACAGAAAATTAAAGCATATCTTTTTGGAGAGAGAGAGAGTGTATGTGTGTCTGGGGAACTGAAAGGAAACTGTGGAAGCTGATACTATGCATATTGCATTTCCCCAATGCGCTGGAAAATTAATTTGAACACTTTTCAGCACATCTTCTTTTGTGGTAAACACTGGACATAGAGCTTTTTTAGATTTATTGCTTGGTTTGAAAATGGACAAAATCTTTGCAATAGTCACCCTATCCATCCTTTCCTTCTCAAGTTTATGAAAAACAGCAGGTTTTTCTATTAAAATCCTAGTCTTGTGAATCATGTAGGAAGATGTCATTGTTATAAAACAATGAGGATGAAAACTGCCAAGTTAAACACAAAGGGTAAAATCTGTTCACATAGTCCCACACCCTTAGACACTTATTCCAGTGTGAATTGCCTGTGAGTTCTGATGACTGAAGTTGGCCCCCCCCACAATTTTTTCTGAGAAGGGCTCAACTTGCTCCAGAAAACGCATCCCTATTTTGCAGTTGATTATGTCTTCTATCAAAAGCAGCAGCTGAAGGATGGTCAAGCCCATAATTAGAAAAGTAGTCCATCTAAGAGAACTGATTTCACCTGCAGGAGAGCGAGACAGTTGTTGTTTTAGATTCTCAAAACCATTAATTTCAAGTAACCAAAGACGGAAAAACCAGGGATCATCAGATGACGAATGACTTTATTTCTCCAGAATATGAAAGAAGTTATTTACAAATATAATTTTTATTCTTTTTATCTTTAAAATATATGAGACAAAAGCATCAATAAATGTCAAATACTCAGGGCAAAATTAAAGCACCCTAAGTATGTGCATAATAATTTTATAGCTATAGATATGCCTTTACCTCTATGCCCATAAAATATATATGCTCTTTAATAGGTATATTGAATATTTAATACATTTTCCATATATACATATAAAT